GCATCATAATACACACCTATTATATCCCTTATATTTCACCTCCAGATAACATATTTTTAAAATGATTTATTTATATAAAAACCTTGTTTAAAAACAGAATGAGTTTAATTCGAAGGAGACGGATTCTTCTCAGCTCTATCATCTCTCATCCCAAAAGTAGCCAACTTTGTCTCAAACAACAAATCCCTTATTTCTTCTGGAACGCAAGCTCTTGGATCTGTAGCAAAAGCAGGAGTAAATATAAGCGAAACAGTGAAAAGATCTAACGAGTTGAAAGAATTACAACATATATGAGAAATGCGAAATAAAAGATTAGAAAACAAAAAAAAGGCAACGGTTTTGAAATTATTGGATAAAAATGTTAATGATAATTGCTCAAACTCCTATAACTTATTTCGGTTCCGACATTCAAAATTCATTAGGTTCTCTTCCCGGATTTCCATGGGCAAAATATCCAGGAGAAAAACATCTTCCAGGTCATAATTACACCGTTCCAGGTACAAGGTTAGATCTGCGATTAGACCAAAACGATAAACCCAAACCAGGTGAAGAACCAGTCAATAGAGTTGACGCAGCAGCGCTCAAACACGATATACTATACAGAAATAAAGACATAACATCCAGACACGAAGCAGACAAACAAATGATAATCAAACTTGAAAACATTCCAAATCCAACTTTTAAAGAGAGAATTCAAAGAGCATTAATCATTAAACTCTTGAAAGCAAAGATGAAAATGGGTATGGGAATAGCAGATGAAATACACAAAAAATTTAGAAACTTAACTGATTAATGGGAGGTAACACTGTTTTTTGTTTACTTCAAAGTAAAATACCAACCAGTTTATACACGGTTAGTTTTCTAGAGAATTATTGATTTAATAATTACTTTCAACGCCCGGTAACAATCAGTCGTCTATTGTTGACCGGATATATGGCACGCTATAATTAACATATCACGCGTGCCACGTCAGCACAGACAGTCTAGACTCTCAACTGTTAGTAGTGTCTCAATTTTTGTTACGCTGGAAGATTAGGAATTTAATCATACAAAATCAAGGTATGTTCTTTGTTTGATTTAATCATAAGACGATAGGGTGGAATTAAGATGATATGTTATTTGTTGTTTTTCAAAATATCAATTTTGTTCTATTGCAGACACAAGTTTAATAGATATCACGATCACAGGCAGTGGGGAATACTACCAAACTCTGTGACAAATATCCGAGGATTCAAAATTGTTGATACAGATTTCGAAAATAGAACAAGTGCCAAAGAACAAGCGTTTTGGAAAAGGATAAAATATGTGACGTATATCTGCCGATTGTACTGGGAGCGGTCGTGACACTTGACACTTGACCCTTGAACTATGACTGGTAAAAGTTAAGAGGGGAGATAACTCTGAAGTATATCTAGCGATTCTACCAGGAGCGGTCGTACCCCTTTGACCCTTAATCCTTGGCCCTTGAACTCTGAAGTATATCTACCGATTCTACTAGGAGCGGTCGTAACCCCTTGACACTTGACCCTTGAGCTATGACTGGTAAGAGGGGAGATAACTCTGAAGTATATCTAGTAGAAGTGTATATCAATGTTATTGTTTGTTTTAAATTTCCTTGTATTTATTAAAACTTACTTTGGTTTTTTTGTTATTCTTCCTGGATTTCCATGGGGGTAAATTGGTTTCAAATAATAGGGTAAAACCTATCTTTCAAAATGGCAGAAAAAAATTACAGATTAGATCCCATCTTTCAATTATATGATCCAATTCGTTATTCGTTTAATAAGAAAAAAGAGGATTACATTATCATATCACCAACCGTTGGCTCTAGGTCTCAACTAAATGATGGGGGTAGGGACACTTTCGAGATTAATTCACTGTCAAATTGGCTGCTTCTTTCCGATGCTTATTTCAGATGCGATTTCAAAATCAAAGACGGAACTCCCAATCAGAATCGTGTACCACAAACTAATACAACGTTAGAAAACTTCTTTCCATCTTAATTTAGCGAGATGGTTTTGGAAGCTGGTTCAAATTCTATAGAAACCATCAAACACCCTGGGGAATTTGATACAAAGTTGAAAACAGTTTTATATCCTAAAGACTTCGATTCAGTCTCAGGCTGGATACCCGACGTTGGCAATCGAAATGTTTTAAAAGAACCGGTAAGAAATCTTGCAAATGATGCCGATTTAGCTAGAGTGAGAGTTGTTGCTCGAAACACAATAGAAATAGTAGCACGAGCAGCTAATCATGGATTCGAAAAACGAGTACTTCAGTATAATAATGTTGTTGAGAATAATAGGTGGGTTAATTACGTAAATTGGAAATTATATCCTTTATTCGGTCTGTTGGAACACAGAAAGGTTTCAATAGGGTTACCATATAAAATCCATCTACAAAGAGAAATCAATGATGATAAAATATTCTTTGGAGAGAATGCTTCAGATGCAAAATTAAAAATATCGAATCTCCAACTTTACGTACCAGTAATAACACCATCAATTGAAGTAGAAACGAGAATATTCAACTCATTAACTAGAGATATTGAAATAGCATTTCTTCGTCGTAATACAATAGGTAGCATAACTTTAACTGGAGAAGCCACTACATGGCCAATCACTAACACTATTAAACCAGCAAGATATTTAATGGTTGGTTTCAAGAACTTACCAGATTCTCAAACGAATAACAATAATATCTTTAGAGTAGCAATGAACCAAATTCAAGATCCTATAATCCGTAAAGTTCAAGTAAGATTAAACAACGATAATTATCCTAACCAACCTTTAACAATTAATCCATCCATGAAGGATTATAATGAATTGTATAGAAACTATAAAAATATGTGTGAATTATTTGGAAATTCACCTCAGTTTGAATATGTAGATTTTGCACTTAATCATCCAATCTTCTGTTTTGATCTATCAGCTCATCAAGAAGATCTTTCAAAACAGGAGTAAACATAAATATTCACATTGAAAAAACACAAGGAGATGTGACCGGTTATTGTTTATTATTGGAAGAAGCAAAACATTTAATTAAAATATCCGACAGACGGATGATTCGTATAGAATAATCATTTAAATTACCCTCTTAAAAATGAAACCAGAAACTTTAGTAAAAGGAATAATAGAAGCTATCGATACGGAATCATCAACTACAATAACATACAATGGTAAAAAGATTAAAATATCTGAAAAAAATATCGATAAATATAAACACTGTAAAGTCCTTGGTGATATAGATTTGGAAAGAATTGACAAGAGTGTAAAGGAAGGTGGATTTTTACCTTTCCTACCTTTGATATTTGCTGGCCTGGCCGCAGCAGGAGCAACTGGTGGTGGGGCTGCTGGGATAACACAAGCCATCAACGCCAAAAAAGCAGCTGATGCTGAAAAAAGTGAAAAACGTAGACATAATATAGAAATGGAAAAGATAGCACAAGGTTCGGGAGTAGCAGATTTATTAGGGACAGTTAAAGAATTTGGAAATCGATTTAGTGAAGAAACCAAGAAAACTGTTACATAGGTATTAAGTTATCTAATAGATAAAATCGACACAGGAGAAACGAAGGTTAAACATAAGGGTAATGCCATAGTTTTTAAAAACAAACGTTCTGGAGAGGAAATCTTTCTTTCAAAGTATAAAGGAGAAGGAGTGATTTCTGGAACAAAAATATAGAATAAAAAATGGGAAAGAAATTTAATCATTCAGAAATATTTCCTAGTAACCCAATGCTTATGTGTATTTGTGGAAGCTCGGGTTCTGGGAAAACATATTTGACCTTTAACATGTTGATAACACCAAAACTTTTAGATTTCGATTCATTATATATCTACACAACAACACCAGAACAATCGTATTATCAATTCCTCAAAGCTTTAGAATATATACTAAAGAAAGACGTTCAGGACATATTTAAATATTATGAAGACAACGATGAGATAGAAATAAAAGATATCTTAGATACATATATAAAAGAAAAGAATCCATCTTTCAATCCAACGGATATAAGTTTTTCTTACGAAAAATGTTAATGATTTAGATTTGTCTAAAATTGATAGTGAGCGAAAGAACTTAATAGTGTTTGACGACTGTGTAGCACAAAGAAATCAAGCCGTTCGACAAGAATTCTTCACGAAGGGAAGACATCACAACTGTCACTGTATATACCAATCCCAATCTTTCTACGGAATGGATGCAATGTTCATTAGAATTAAACGACAAAGATTTATCTCAAATCATTCAGTCGATAAATCACGGAATGGACAGGGATACATTCAAAAAGGATTGTAAAGCACAATAGAGAAACCCAGATGATCATGGATATGTATTCGTTAATACTAGAAAACCTGCAGGTGAAAGAGTTATGATAGATATATGTTAATTTTATTTCATTAAAAATGACGGATTGGAATAATATTTTAAAAAGAAATAGAGAATATATCAAAGCTAAGAATAAAATAAAGACCCAAGTTGAAAATAACAGATTACAACAACTTGGATTAATAGAAAATCTACAAACTCTATTTTAACCAATATTAAAAAGTCAAGAAGATATTAAAAAGAGACTCGAGTCTCCTATAGAAGCTTCACCTCATAAAGATAACCCCGAACCGATTGAATATGGTGGTATTATAATTAGAACATTAAATGATATAAAACGTTATTTTTCAAATCCAAACCCAGATTTACCAAAGAGCATTACACCAATTTTTGATAATGAAGGGTTATTGTTTAATGGATTTAGAATAAGATTTAGTGGAAATTCACCACAATTCAAAATCGATACAAAATACTTTATATTTACATTAACAGAAGGGTTAAAAGATTTAATGAATGGTGGGGATGTTGATATTACCGATTACAAGGATTTAGCAGAATACTCAGAATTTCTACATACGATAAGAAAGACGGGGCCCGAAACAAGAAGATTAAAAGAAGTTGATCAATATATAAGAGATATTAATCAAGATGATGAATACGAAGTTGACGAAGTAGATGATGAATATGAAGATGAAAGTGATAAAATTATACATGAAATCGATTCCTTTTTAGGGCATGCAGGAGAAGGTATTACGTTTTTATCCGACAACAATGAGGAATTATTTAATAGATTACAAATGATATTAGCGGCAATGAAAGAAGGCCATCGATCAGACAGACAATATAATGAAGTTAATTATAATGAAGTTAATTGTATATTAAAAAGACTCCTAGAGAAAGGTATCATAGATAAAAATGATTATAAAAACGTAATAAAAATGCCAAATAAAGAACAATTATTCGTTATAACCTCAAATAAATCAGACATTAAATTATCTCTAGATTATGAGTATGAACTCGATCGCAATCAAGAATATGAATTAGGATTAAAATATTTTTCTGTTTACAATTCCATTAGAAATATCAACGAAAATAATAACCAAATGAAAATATCAACAGATAACGGAGCTACATTCAAAACCATAAGTTTACTACCAGGAAGCTATGAATACGTTGCCATAAACGAATATTTATCTGAATATGGAGGAAGTGCAAATGGTAAAAACAATATTGAATTCGAAGGTAATTTGAATCTGAACAAAATAAAATTGATATTAAGAAATAATTGTCATGTTGATTTCAACGTAGAAAATTCATTGAATGCGTTACTAGGATTTGATAAACAAATATACACGCAATCCACTTTAGCACCACATAAAGCTAGTATCGAGAATGATATCGATGTGATTAATATACATGGCAATTTGATAAACGGTGGATTTTTCAATAAATACAAACGTCAGATTATTTACAGTCTTCCAACATTCACTGTTCCTATTGGATATAGAATTATAGAGAAACCATTTCAAACAACTTATTTACCACTTAATTCGTTCATGATTAAAGATATAAATCTGGAAATCAAAGATGGTAAAAATAGGTTAATTGATTTTGGTAATGAAGAAATTGTTATTCAGCATTTAAAACGAGTTCATTCTCTTCTTGAATAGTAAGGTAATCGAAGTGAAATTCATAGTTTTCATCCAAACTATACTCATCTTTATTACTATAAGGATACATGATTCCTTCACTATTTGGTGGCTTTCTCTTTACAAGATTCAAATAACTTCTAAAAACTTTCTTTTGTTTATCATCATCCTTTGGAATAATTACTCCATTTTTTCTTAAATTCATTTGATATATCATGTCCACTAGCCAACTGAATGTAATCGTCTACAGTTATCTTATCATTAGAATAACCTTTAAATGTTTTCTTTTTCTTCTTCTTCTATCTCAACGATGTATTGAGTCTCATTTATTTTTTCATAGTTTTTGACATGTGAATCGAAGTTGGCTTTTAAAGTTGCTTCATTGGCTTTTAAAGTTGCTTCACTCCATAGATGTTTCGATGTAGTTATATCCTTCTGAATAGATTTACCATATAAGGAATTACCTAATAATTTCATACAATTACTACCCACAATATTACCTTCTCCTTTATATTTATTTCTTAGATCTCTCAAAATTAAAAGGTATTCTCTATAGGGAGGAGTTCTAAAATTTTCTTCGTATACTATACCATCTAATATTCTAATAATTCGTCCACCAGCTTTAACTATCTCTTGAATATCAACCGATGTTAAAACGTCATAACAGAAACCATTTCTGAATCTGATTTTAGTCCCAGTTTCCTTTTTTCCTTCTTTGTTCGTAAAACTGATTTTATCTTTAGCTAGTATCGGTTGGAAGAATATGTTTTTGGGATACACAAACCAGGCTTTTAAAATAGCAGTTTTTGGTCTAAATCTTTGTTCATTTAAGAGTCTTACAAATGTTTTTCCTTCTTCTGGTAAAAATGGTCTACCACTTTCCGCTTGGGGATATTCACACTCTAAATCCGACATCGCTGAAGCATATAAACCGTTAGCATCAAATGCCATTAGTTTAGTATATTTATATTTTTAAATTTTGAGTGAACCTCTGTTTTATCTTTTGTGCTTGCGCTGTATTCTTTAAATAAATCAATTATGTTATTACTTTCGAGTTCTGTATATTCCTTTAATACATTACAAATTCCATCCATTTTATTCGTTTCAAATGATTTTCGATTTGCGGAAACTCTTCCTCCTTTAATAGATTGTCTAATAAAATGTCTTATAAAAGGGTTAGTGTGTGAGTAAACTTTTTCTACGTTTTGTTTTTCCGTATGTTTCGGAACCATTCTAGTAGTTTCATACCATTCTTCTTCAACTATTTCTTTATCGTAATGATACAAATAATACCAACCCTTTAAAGATAGAGATGGAGCCGTTAGATTATTAGAAACATTCTGGAATACAACGTCTTTCATGACCTTGTTGTATTTTATCAAGCATGCTCCAAGACATAGGGTATCTCGTTTCGCGTAAGGTTCCCATTCATGTCTTAAAGATTCCCAGTTATCTTCGGTATATTTTGAAATGTCTACATCCACGATCTTTCTCAAATTCATTGGTAGATTAGATGAATTTCCCAATGCGGCTAAACTAGATGTTTCGTGTTGATAGGAACATTTGAAATTAATATGTTGTAAATAATTTTAGTTACCCGTTATTTCTTTCTGTCTTTTCCATTTTTTCTGTAAATCTTCATCGGTGTATGGATTAGATAAAGGTAAAGATAGAATGCCTCTAGGTGTTATTAGTGGGCATTGTGTTAGTTTTTTTACGATTTTGATTATGATCCAGTTATCAAAACCACTACCGTTATGAGAAGTCAATGTTAATCTCTTTTTATCATATTGACCTAAATATTTCAACATTTGATCCATACAATCTGTACCTACAAATATTTCTACTATATACATTATTCTATCATAAAATTCGTCTGGAACTTTATCAGTAGGATTTAGATTTGGAAAAATAGTAGTATATGTGTTTTCTGATATAGCGCATCCAGTTTGATCCGTTTTTAAGATGTCAGGTATATGTCTTTTCGGATATGACGCATTTCACTTCTGCGCAGCTTTTTCAATGCGTCATATCCGAAAAGACACAACTGTTAAAATGTATTATAACAGACTTTCCCCAAACTGTTAAAAAATGTATTATAACAGACTTCCCCAAACTGTTAAAAAAATATATCATAACAGATTCCTCCAAACTGTATTATAAATTACCCAAAACCACAGACAAGAATCACTAATAATAATACAGTATAAAATAACCGCATTAAAAATGTCTTTAATTTTAAAACACGAAAAAAAAATTCGAAGGAGACGGTTTCTTCTCTGCGCTAACATCTCTCATCCCCAAAGTAGCCAATTTTGTCTCAAACAACAAATCCCTCAATTCCTCAGCAGCGCAAGCTCTTGGATCTGTGGCAAAAGCATTTTTATCTTATTTTGTTATATTTTAATGTTTATTTCAGCTAGGTTCCCTTATACTCAGTTTTACTGTATTTTTCACTAAAGGGAGATAATCATGTTGAAATTCACCTTTAGATAAGTGGGCCAAGCATGGGTCGTATTTATTTCCATTTTATTATATGTTCACAATATGCTACAAGTCATTAGCTTTCATGTGATATGCATTTTAATAGGGTAGGGCTTGGGTTCGTATTTTTAATGTATTATTTTAACTCATAAGAGTACCAGGCAAGTCGGTTTATGGGGAACTCAAAATGTATAAATAGAGTTTAATTTCTTTCATTCGAGGAACTCTGTCATTTGAATTCACAGAAACACTGAGACTCCAGAACACAGAAGTCTGAAGGGACAGGTTCCCTATGTAAGTAGAGAGGCTTACATAGTAAGAGGAGATTAGGGAGATTTTGAATGAAAGATACTAGGTGTTAGTATCCTTATCTACTGTACCGATACCCGTTTCCGCTCGGCGGGTACTCAATTTTGTTGAATAATTTATATTTTGTTGTCAAGTGTGAATTATATATGTCTCTTTGTCCTATATCTTGGTGTCTGCGGGTAACAATAATCATCTCACCATCGGTAGGGACAAAGACCCAAATAAACGACGGAGGAAGAGTTACCTTTGAAATTAATTTGTTGTCCAATTGGTTGCTGCTTTCCGATGCCCATTTCCGATGCGATTTCAAAATCAAAGACGCCACTCAGAATCGAATTCCACAAACCAACACGACTTTAGAAAACAACTTCTTTCCGTCTTTATTCAGCGAAATGGTTTTGGAAGCTGGTTCAAATCCGATAGAGACCATAAAACACCCCGGAGAGTTTGACACAATGTTGAAAACGGTTCTGTATCCCAAAAACTACGACTCAGTTTCAGGATGGATTCCCGATGTCGGTGACGGAGAAGTTTTAAAAGAACCGGTCAGAACTGTAGCAAATGACGCAGACCTTGCTAGGATAAGGGTAGTTGCTAGAAACACACTGGAAAGAGTGACTCGCGGAGTAAATCACGGATTTGAAAAACGAGCGCTTCAATACAACAATGTTGTCGAGAACAACAGATGGGGTAATTACGTAAATTGGAAGTTGTATCCTTTATTTGGTCTCTTGGAACACAGAAAGGTTTCCATAGGTTTACCGTATAAAATTCATTTGCAAAGAGAAATCAATGATATTCTTTGGTGAAAACAACTCTGACGCAAAATTGGAAATAACGAATATCCAACTTTACATACCGGTATACTCCTTCCGTAGAAGTGGAAACGAGAATATTCAACTCTTTAACCAAAGACATCGAAATTGCTTTTCTTCGCCGTAACACGGTAGGTAGCATGACTTTAACTGGGGAATCCACCACGTGGCCAAATACCAACACCGTCAAACCAGCGAGATATCTAATGGTCGGTTTCAAAAACTTGCCAGACTCTCAGACAAACAACAACAACATTTTCAGAGTGGCATTGAACCATACTCAAGATCCCATCATTCGCAAAGTTCAAGTCAGATTGAACAACGATAATTATCCCAATCAACCTTTGACAATTGATCCTTCCAAAAAAGATTACAACGAATTGTACAGAAACTATAAAAACATGTGCGAATTGTTTGGAAATACGCCTCAGTTTGAATACACAGATTTTTCACTCAATCATCCAATCTTTTGTTTCGATCTGTCAGCTCATCAAGAAGATCTTTTCAAAACAGGGGTAAACATAAATATTCACACCGATAAAACACAAGGAGATGTAACCGGCTACTGTTTATTGCTGGAAGAAGCAAAACATTTGATTAAAATATCAGATAGAAGAATGATAAGAATTGAATAAAAAACACCCTTTAAAAATGAAACCAGAAACTTTAGTTATGAAAATAATAGAAGCTATGGAAACGAATTCGCTGACTCTAATAACTTACAACGGTAAAAAAGTGCATATAACCCAAAAGATTATCTATAAATACAAACATTGCAAAGTCAGAGACGATATAGACTTGGAAAGAATTGATGAGAATTTAACTAAAAAAGGTGGATTTTTACCTTTCTTACCTTTAATCTTTGCTGGTTTAGCTGCAGCTGGTGCAACTGCTGGTGGAGCTGCTGGGATAGCCAAAGCTGTCAACGATAAGAAAGCTGAAGCCGCTGCAAACGCCGAAGCGCATAGACACAATTTGGCAATGGAAAGAGAAGCACGAGGAGGTTCGGAAGTAGGAGATATATTAGGGACGGTTAAAGAATTCGGACAAAGATTTGGCGAAGAAACCAAGAAAACCGTTAAAGAGGGATTAAGCAAATTAATAGATAAAATCGACACTGGAGAAATGAAGGTCAAACACAAGGGCAACGCCATATTTTTAAAAAACATACGTTCGGGCGAGGGATCTTCCTTTCAAAGTATGAAGGCAACGGAGTGATTTTTAGTACGAAAATGTAATAAATGA